CAGTTAAACAACTGCAACAAAAAAATGGTCCAGTATTGTGGCAGGAAACTGTAGTCCCAGCTACCTGGGAGGCTGACGCAAGAGAATCTCTTAAGCTCAAGAGTTTAAGGTTGCTGTGAGCTGTAACACCACAGACAGCACTCTACTGAGGGCAACATAGTGAGACTCTATCTCAAAAAAAAGGAAAAAAAAGAAGTATCTTAAATTCAATACCTAAGCTGAATATCCAAGCGATCTCTCATTTCCTATTATCTTCACTTTTTTTAAGTGTCAATTATCATACTGATGATTCTGTATATAATACAGCATAATGGAATGAACTCTATACTGCATGTCAGAAAAATTCAATTCTGCTACTGCCCAATTGCAACAACTCAGGTGTAGGAGCATTTAACTTTTATGACCTTCAATTCAAAAGTAATAAAAAGTAGGCCTAGATAACCTAAATGATTCTGCATTCTATAAGTTATTAGTATTTTATTTTAACCAACTCAGTTTATTTTTGAGATCACTTCTAAATAAAAGTAACAGCAGCATACATGGAGGAAGAAAACTGTCTGAAGGACTCTGCAGAAACATTCTCAGACTTTCAAATGCAAAGTGGAAAAAATAAAAGTAAGTTATATCTGGCTCAGCGCCCATGGCACAGTAGTTATGGTGCTGGCCACATACAATGAGGCTGGCAGGTTCAAATCCGGCCTACGCCAGCTAAAACCAACAATGACAACTGCAACAACAACAACAAAAAATAGCTGGGCTTTGTGGCTGGCGCCTGTAGTCCCAGCTACTCAGGAGGCGGAGGCAAGAGAATCGCTTAAGCCCAAGAGTTTGAGGTTGCTGTGAGCTGTGACACAACAGCACTCTACCAAGGGTGACAGCCTGAGACTCTGTCTTTAAAAAAAAAAAAGTAAGTTATATCCAAGTAATATTTTGACCACATAAGCTTCGGGTATAGAAAAAAATGGTAGAACAGTATAAATGTTCAAGGAAAAATACTACCATAAAAAATACCAAAATAAAAAACAGATGCTCCACATACAGTTATTGCTACATTACAGAAGCTTTTCCTATTTTTTCAATACTCCTAAAAAATCCTTTCAGAGAAAGAAACGTTTCCTTAACTTTTCTGCATCATCAAACATAAAAAGGCCAAAATACGAGACAATCTACAGAGTTAGTTATCTGTGCATGTAATTTATCTGCCAGACTATGCTTTATTCCTGTCTGCCATTTAGTAATGTGCACTGAACAAAAAAGGGCGCTTCATACTGGTTGAACTAGTTCATGAAAAAAATATACGAAATCTCTCTCCTACAAATGAAGCTGTACATAATAAATTCTAATCAACCTTTACTACTTGCTTTTGATCATATTCTAGTAAAATCCAGTGTGTGCAATCAAATAAGAGATGGAAGTTAACTAAATATGCACGAGATCTATCATCCTTAGAAATCAATAAGAATTTAAATTTACAACTAAAATCACAGAATATGGGCAGGACCTGTGGCTCAGTGGGTACAGCACCATCCCTATATGCTAGGGTTGTGGGTTTGAACCTGGCCCCAGCCAAACTGCTACCAAAAAATAGCCAGGCATTGTGGCCAGCACCTGTAGTCCTAGCTACTTGGGAGGCTAAGGCAAGAGAAATCGCTAAGCCAAGGAATTGGAGGTTGCTGTGAGCTATAATGCCACGGCGATCATGGGCAATAATATGAGGCTCTTTCTCAAAAAAAAAAAAAAAAGAAAAGAAAAGAAAAGAAATATATATATGTATATACATATATAAAATCCTCTAGAGCAACGGTTCTCAACTTGTGGGTCACGACCCCTTTGTAACAATGAAAATACATCCTGCATATCAAATATTTACATTATGATTCCTAACAGTAGCAAAATTAGTTATGAAGTAGAATAAATAAGAAAATCACAGAATACAGTTAAAACTGACTTACAAAAACAAACACCAAAAAAAACCTCAGTATCAAACAGCCTAGCATTCACCTACATCAACCAATCCCAGATCTATCCAAAGGCCTTTTCTTTGTGTACCAGAGAGCAAAGTCAAGACAATCTCACCACTTCACAAAATTTCTTTAAATGTTTTAAACAATTTGAATAAACTCACCTAAACTTGGGACAAGCTTTTACTCAATTAAATTTAAAAAAATAAGTTAATTCTCAGCATTTCATGCTTTTTAAAAGGTTTAAAAAACAGGATAAACACTTAAGTTTTACTCTTTTTTAAATTCACCAAGACATCTGGTTAAAAATATATAATCCTCGGCTCAGCACCAGCCGTATACACCAAAGTTCAAACCTGGCCCCAGCCAGCTAAAAGAACAATGACAACTACAACAAAAAATAGTCAGGCGTTGTGGCAGGCGCCTACAGTCCCAGCTACTTGGGAGGTGAAGGCAAGAGAATCGCTTATGTGCAAGAGTTAGAGGTTGCTGTGAGCTGTGATGCTACAGCACTCTATCAAGGGTGACATAGTGAAACTCTGTCTCAAAAAGGAAAAAAAAAGAAATATATATATAATCGTCTACAGCAGCGGTTCTCAACCTGTGAGTCACGACCCTTTTGTAACAATGAAAATACATCTTGCATATCAGATATTTACATTATGATTTCTAACAGTAGCAAAATTAGTTATGAAGTAAAAACGAAAATAATTTTATGGTTGGGGGTCACCACAACATGAGGAACTGTATTAAAGGGTCTCAGCATTAGGAGACATTAGGAAGGTTGAGAACCACTGCTCTAGAGGCCCTGGAGAGAATCACAACTTTAGATGTGTCACAGCAGATAACAGGTATACTCTGATAAGTAACAGAAATATGTTTTTCTGATTAGAATCCTATTTTGTTCATTCCACAAAAATTTGCACCGTCAATATCCCACAAACATACACACACTCCCACCACATGCCTTAAACATAAAGATAAAATCAGAGAAGTATCTTGCTCTCAAGATGAGATAAAATACTAACAAAAATACAAGGTAGCAAGTGTTAAGCACTGTGAGAGATGGGCAGAAAAAGCATTACCAGGAGAGAAAAGAGACATGTTACTACATCACAGAAACATAAAATCCTTTCATCTGTTTAAAGCAATTTCAAAACTATTAATTCCATTTAGGTTCACAACAGCCAACCCTGTTGTTGTAGAGCAAACGCTTCCCCTAATGATACAGATGAGGAAATCTGAAGTGTACAGAAAGGTTGCTCAGTTCTAAATCATCACACAGTTAAGTTACCAAAATCAAGACTCCCTGTATTAAATTTTCTCTGGGGGAGTAATTCAACATATGGCAGGCCTTTTGTAAAAGGAAAGAGTATTTTGGTACTGCAAGCGATCACTTCCTAGTATATTCTTTCTGTATATGTAGATATATATGTAAGCTTTGATTTCCATTAACAGGTGTGCTTAGGGCAGCGCATGTGGCTTGGTGAGTAGGGGGCCGGCCCCACATAACTGAGGGTGGTGGGTTTGAACCCGGCAAGGCCAAACTGCAACACAAAAAGAGCCAGGTGTTGTGGCGGGTGCGTGTGGTCCCAGCTACTCGGGAGGCTGAAGCAAGAGAATCCCCTAAGCCCAAGAGCTGGAGGTTGCTGTGAGCTGTGACCCCACAGCACTCTACCGAGAGGACAAAGTGAGACTCTGTCTCTTAAAAAAAAAACAGGTGTACTTATAGCAAGGAAAAGCAACTGGGCGCCATAAATATTAAAGTAAACTTCCACTATATATTATCAGAATGAGAAAACGAGATGCAAGATCCCTCTAGTAGGAGAGTGGTTCTTTCCCCTGTAATTTTTACTCATGTCTAAATAAGATTCTAAAATTGGTCTGTTCTGGAGCCAAGTACAAGTTGGTTCATCCAATAAAAATCTTTATGAAAGGGTACACAAAAACATATTCAAAGAGCTATTAATAATTAAATAATGCCATCAACTCCTTAGTTATCCATAAGACCTTGATGAGACCGAGCATCAGCAGCTACTGATCAAGATATGTTGAACCAATGAATGAATCTCTTAAATCCTAGGCCTGTTGTTCTTTGCACGTTGCCATGTTCTGCCTCCCATCATTTCCTCACCAGGGTGCACACAAGGAATGTAAATTTCGATATAATTAGGATATAATTAGGGAAGCAAATCTGATGCAAGTGAATATACTAATCCCAAAGATTAGAATTACCCATACCACTACTCTCCACGGTTAACTCTTCTGTGGCACAGGAACCCAGGCATGCAACTATCACGGAAAGAAAAGTGACACTTTTTGAGCAAATGACTTTTTATAAACATTACTTATTCCCACTCACTCCTTTAATACATGACTATTCCTGATCCACTTTATTCGAAGAAGCCCATCTCCTCTCCATTAAGACCAATTTCTCAACCACAGTTTCTCAAATCCCTCCTTACCCAAAAAGAAGTGCACTCACCGACTTCACACACCAACAATGAGCGGCGGAAGGGACAGGGTGTGGATCTTGGCCCTCTCCACCACTGCCCACCCTTCGCCATCACACGGGGTCTGGTTAGAAAGGTCAACTACTTTGCCCTCCACGCACTTGTCCATCGCTGTCACCCTCTCTAGCTGCTTCCACCCTCCCAGGTCGGGCACCGACTCCGCCTCACGGCGAGCCCAGGCTGGCCACCCGCGCGGCCGCAGCCGAGGACCCAAGGCCTCCCAGTGTCGCTCGCCGGCCCCGCAGGCTCCGCACAGGACACCCCGGGGCGGCCCCGGCCCGGCCGCAGCCCATTCTTCCTCCAAACTCCGTCAGCCTCCACTCTGGGGCCCGGGCTCCCCGCCGCGCCCGACAGGCCCCCGGGCGGCCCAGAGCAGAGGACGGGCGGCTACGACCCGTCGCGCCTTCGCTGGGCCTACGGCGCCCTCTCGCCCGGCTGAGAAGCCGTCCCCGCGGCAGGAACCCAGAGAGCCCTGGGACGAGCAGGGCCCCGGAGGCCGGGGCTGCAGGCGGCGGGGCCTACTCACCAGGAGCTGGCGGAGCGCGGGAGCCGACGCGCCCCCGGGCCTGAGGGGCAGGACGCGGTGCCGGCGCGCGGCCCCACACCCGGACCTCGGTCGGCGCGGCAAGCTGGGCACTCACTCCTGCCGCGGACGCCGTCGCTGCTGCTGCTTCGCCACCTTAGCCGCCATCTTGACTCAACCCCTCTCCCTCCCCCCAGCCCCGGCGGCCGCGGCTGAGGCGGCTCCGGCGCCGGCTCCTCCTCCTTCCGGAGGGCTGGGAGACCGACTCCCTCCGCTGGCCGAGCGCCGCTCCTACCTGGGCCGGGTTCCCAGGGGTCCCCTCGGCCGGGCGGCGGCAATCCCCTCTCATGCATGTGTCAAAATGAAGAAGTAAACCCGGGAAATTGTAAAGTAATGTTGTAGGTCATCTCAGAGTTCGCCTCCACTCAACTTTCAGAGAAGGAGAGTGGCCCGGGCATCAGTGCGCCCAGCCCGACCCGGCGCGGCTGCCATCGCGCACCCGGGCCGGTGCGCACCGCGAGCGGCCGCTCCTGCGCCTCGGGGCCTCCTCCGGCCGTGGGAAAGGGATGAGCGCCAGGCCGAGCCTCGGGCCCTGCGACCCCTTCGCGGCGCGGCGGGACGGCAGGGGCCTGCGGCCGGGGCTACGTGGAGGGAATCCCGGTCCACACGGGGCTGGGAGCCAGAGGGGTGCTCGACCCAGCCCAGATACCTTCCCTGGCTCCGGCTGCAATTCGCACCAAGACCTCACTGAAATGCGGCGCGGCTCCCCAGCCTAAAGTAACTCGCAATTGGAGCGTGTAGCCCTGGCTTCTACGAAGTGCACTCTCGGCCTTACTCTTCTATTGAAATGACTAGACAGTTCTTTGTAACCGCATACTTTTTGGACAGTCACCACTGCACATCCCAAAATTGAGAAGGAAAAACATAGTTGGTGTATCTGGCTGTTTCATGTGGATAACGGGCTAACCGTATAATTTTAAGAAAGTCGCAGGTTTTTAAGAAATTACTTACAAAGTGATCAGATGAAGAAGAGGAACTCTTCCTAAAAGAATTGAGAGCCTATTTTAAAACGCTTCTATTTAAACCTATTGCACTGTAAGGAAGGACTAAGAAAACTGGACATGGTGCTCGGATAAGCTCTGCAACGACGCAGGCACAACACTTCAATGATTCAAAAACGGGAGAGAGCTGGATAAAGAATTGTTGATGGGCTTCTGTGTTCAACCACAAGAGAAAACCTACTTCTAAAGCTTCAACCCTCCGGAAAGTGTCGGCGGGACGGATTTTAAAAACGGAACCCAAATTTAGCGGGTGCAGTTTTCCCGCCGGAATTAGGGTCAGTTGCAGCCTTTCCGACTGCGCAAGCGCAGTACAGCTTACCCGGGATGGACGTGGTAGTTCTTTTCTGGGCGGTAGCGGCAGTCTACGCTTGGGTTTGGGGTTTGAGACACCCCGGAACGAATAACTAGTCAGAAGCAAACAGGTTTAGTGGAAGCTGGAGGCTGAACCCTCCTGGTGATCGCAGGCCTTGGCTATGAAGCCTTGTTCTTTGCTCCCACAACGCTAGGCTTGGCCCACCTAAGGTACCAAGGGTCGCGGCTTTGCTTCCTCTGCAGGTAGGAGGAGACCGTAGGCGGGGCACAGGAACCCGGGGCTGTGAAGAGAATTTAGGTGCTAATCGGTGTCAGTGAACCTCTCGCTGGGTTTTGTGTTGTAGAGAGCAAGGTGAATACTCCAGAGGTCCTTTTTCTGGACCGCTCACAGACTGGAGCGGCTGGAGCGGCTGGCTTCCCAGGTGGGTTGGGGGACGTCTGCAGCTCGCCTACGCTGCTTACCACTCGCAAGCTTGAGGATTAAAAAGCAGTTGCTCGCGACTGGTTCCCTTCAGTACCTGCATTTCCGTTGGGAACTATGCCTAGTTATTCTTTGGAACCTTTATTTACGGAAGGATCAAGAAAAATGATCTTACTTTTAGCACACCAAACAAATCTATGCTGTATCCTGCCTGCTCTAACCTTGAAGTATCACTAATAATAGGAAAAGGACCTCCCCGATAATTTCAAAATCCAGTTTTCCTAAAGAGATGCTTGTATCAATTTGAAGATGTAAACTCGGAAGATTGGAAAGTAATTTTGTAGGTATTTTAGAGTTCATCACCGGTCGACTGTGGGTGAAAGTTTCAAAGAATAGATTTTTCCTTATAATGCAGAATATCAAATGAAAAAACGAATTATTTACCATTATACTGTATGATTGGATAATCTTAGAGCCGTATAAATGAACTGAACTGTACAAATATGTGGGTGAGTTTTACAGTATGTCAAATTATACCTCAATAAAGCCCTTTTTTAAAATTACCCGTGGCCTCTTTTCTTTCTTTTTTTTTTTTGGAGACAGAATCTCTCACTTTATCCCCCTCGGAAGAGTGCTGTTGCATCACTGCTCACAGCAACCTCCAGCTCTTGGGCTTAAGCGACTCTCCGGAGTAGCTGGGACAACAGGCACCCGCCACAACGCCCAGCTATTTTATTGTTTGCAGTTTGCCCAGAGCTGGGTTGGAACCGCCATCCTTGGCATATGGGGCCGGTGCCCTACCATTGAGCTACAGGCACCGCCCGCCTCCCCCATGGCCTTTTTTCTTACTTGGTTGTGTATGCTTCCAACTTTTTTTCTATACACATTTTTCACAGAAATCACATACAATTTTATATTTGTTTCATTTAACATATTTATATTCATTTACCAATATTTATTAAACATTTATGTGCTAGGCCTCATCTGTGCCCTAGGGATACAAGCCTGAAGACAAGCTAGATGAGGACTGTGTCTTCATGAAACTTGAATAATACTCATGTTAATAAGAGCTCAATACACAGCCTTTTTAAATGGTTTCATCAAGTTCCAAAGTGGTGGCTCATGCTTGTGATCCTAGCACTCTAGAAGGCCCCGGCTGGAGGATCCCTTGAGCTCAGGAACTGTAAACCAACCTGAGAAAGAAGCAAGCCCTGCACTACTAAAAATAGGAAAATTAGCCGTGCCTGGTGGCCTAGGCCTGAGTAGTCTCAGCTACTTAGTAGGCTAAAGTAGGAGGATCCTTGAACCCAGGAGTTTGAGGTTGCTGTGATCTAGTCTGATGCCACAGCACTCTAGCCTGGTTAATAGAGCAAGACTCTCAAAAAGTTTTTTAAAAAGGTTTCATCAAGATAAAACTTAATTTAGGCTCGGCACCTGTAGCTCAGGTGGCTAGGGTGCCAGCCACATACACTGGAGCTGACAGGTTCAAATCCAGCCTGGGCCAAAAAATAGCTGGGTGTTGTGGCAGACGCCAGTATTCCCAGCTACTTGGGAGGCTGAGGCAAGAGAATCACTTGGACCCAGGAGTTTGGGATTGCTGTGAGCTACCACGGCACTCTACCCAGGGTGACAGCTTTCAGTCTCAGAAAAAATAAATAAAACTTAATTTAGTCTACCTTCATCATATATATACTTAGGGCTTTTTAAATACTGTATCTCTATTACAAAAAAAAAAATCTTTATTTCATAATATTTCATTAGGATTAATTTATACAATTTGCTGTATTAAGGCTTTGCATGAAAATCACATTCCCCAAAACATGCCAATTTATATTCTTTTTTTTTTTTTTGAAGGGAAATACAGAACTATCTTTATTTAAAAATACATTTTAAAAAATCAAAAACAGGTATTAGTACCTAGCATTCAGGTACTAACACTCTAGCATTTCGTTATTAATCACACAATGATTACATGGGGGCTTTCAAAACCTATACTCTCAGTCTGGAGGACACAGGCCAGGGATTCCCAAATTGCTGTCACAAGCTTTTTGGTCACGCTTGGCCCACCCAGCTAATTTTCTCTTTGCTAGCTGCTATAGTAACCCTGGGTTTGTTAGTTTCAATAGAGAAAGGATAAAAAGTCAGTCAAATTCAGTGATGCCAGTGCAAAATTCAGTGGAAGCCCCAAGGCAATAGTAGTGTCACTCCATAAATTACAAACACGTTTTTAAATACACGTTGCTTCAGGCCAATGAGACTGCAGTTTATTTGACTATTTTGTGGTAGGGGAGAAGGTTGAGTGTTGCTGTGAAAGCCCTGATATCAGTAATGGGGATGACGGAATCTGCCAGCACAGGAGAGGTTGGCAGGTAGGTTAGCTGCATCACTTCACAAGAAGAATTTGAATCTTCACCAGAAGGGGTGCTGTCTTCTTCCAGCTCGTACTTCCCGTATCCAACAACATGAACGCTGAGCATTTTACTCCCTGGTCCTCTATGGTCCTTGAACCAGTTGACCAGGTCTGATTTTGAGAATGACTTCAGTGCTTCAATCTCATGAGCAAGACGATCAAAGAGATACTGCTGTGTCACCACTTCGTTCCAGTTCCTATCCACCTCCTCCCCAAGGTGGGTGTCCTCACACTCCTTCAGCTTGATGAGAGCTGTGACCTGGGTGTTGAATGCATCTTCAGTGAGGTTCTCAATCTTCTCTTCAAAGCTAGAAAGAAACTCTTCTATCTTCTTATCAACAACTTCAGAGTTGTACTTGGTTGCCTGTGTTCCCACGGTGACAGAGAATCCTAGAATCCCAGATGTGTTCCTACAGGTAGGGTATACATGGTACCCAAGAGTCTGTTTGGTTCGAAGGAAGTCAAAACAAGGCTCCTCCATGTGCATCACAAGCAGCTCCATAAGAGTGTATTCTCTCAGACTCCTCGTACCTGACTGGTAGTACACAGTGACTTCAGAGTTGGCATCACCCTTGTTCAGAGCTTTCACTTTGCACAGGTGGTGGCCACTGGGCAGCTCTACCACCTGGAACTGCACAGGCATCTCCTGTTCCAGAGGCATGAATTTCAGCTTATCAACAACATATCTGAGGAAATCCATAGATTCTGTGCTTGTGACATTCCCTTGTACCAGGCCCTCAACAAAGAGCTGGGATTTGAACTCTTTAACAAAGCTCAGCAGAGACTCAAGGGAAAGGCCATCCATCAAAGCCCGGTACTTGTCAATCATCGACCAACGGGCATATTCCAGGATTAAAAGCCGCACATCTTTGGCCAGAGTCTCGGGCTTGATGAGGATGTTAAAGTAGGTCTTCTTCAACTGCTCAGTTATCATGGTAAAGACAGCTGGTGTAGAGCTGAACTCAGCTAAATAGTCAATAATAAGCTGAAAGAGTAGAGG